TGTATTCAGTATTTTGCCCATCGGCGCGGGCCCTCGCACTCCCCACTCCCCCCCCATGGAGTAGATCTTGGCTGTTTTGGGCGCCTGTTTCGAGCCGGTGGAGTCTTCCCTATAATGGACGCCCTGTTGCAAACAGTCGCGCTAAGCAGAGGTCCAGAGCCAGGCCCCCCCCCCGCCCTCCCTTCCGCCCAATGTCGAAACGCCGAATAAGGGAACGTTCACCAGGCGAAAGGGTAGGATAGGGAAAGGGGGGGTTGCAAAATCTGCTGCCTGCAGCTGGTCTCGGCCACGCCGCCGGGCCCATTCCTCGATACAAGGGCGCCTCCCGGCGCCGGAAGGTGCCGGGAAGTCAGCTAAGTGAGCTGATTTCCTACCCTACCTTACCCTTTGCTATCCTACCCTTTCGCCCCCCCCGCATTGAGTGTACGGTCATGAGCTTCTGCCTGGCGTGTCGCTCCGCCGGTTCTGGCCCACCACGCTTTCGGCGTGATGCGCTAAGCACGTCCCAGTCCCCAAGCGCCAACGCCCCGAGTTTTTTCCAGCCTCCCGCCCCACGGAGCGGACCGCCATCAGTATGCCGCAAGTCGGCGGCGAGCGAGGGGGGGAAGAAGGAAGGGGTGGGCCTTCTCCGAAGGCTCGGAAGTCCGCCGGCCTTCTAAGAAGTATTCGGAGCCTTCCAAGAAGACATAACAAACTTCTCAGACTACTTCTCAGACGGCCAGAGGCTTTCTGAGACGCTCCGCCGCCTTCTGAGAAGGCCTCCTACTTATTTTTTCCCCCCGTCGCTCGCCGCCGAGCAGGGACCGTTGCCGCGACAAGCTGAGCGACAGTTCCTGGCCGTAAGTCCGGTCGAACGCTTGGAGCAGTCATGCGCCTCTCTTTTGGGGGTAGAGGGGGGAGGAGGAGGAGGAGGAGGAGGAGGAGGAGGAGGAGGAGGAGGAGGAGGAGGAGGAGGAGGAGGAGGAGGAGGAGGAGGAGAGGAGGAGGAGGAGGAGGAGGAGGAGGAGGAGGAGGAGGAGGAGGAGGAGGAGGAGGAGGAGGAGGAGGAGGAGGAGGAGGAGGAGGACGAGGAGATGGCGGAGGAGGAGGAGGAGGAGGAGGAGGAGGAGGAGGAAGACGAGGAGGAGGAGGAGGAGGAATGGGAGGAGTAGGAGGAGAAGGAAAGGGAGGGTGAGGAATAATAATATTGATACTCATACGACGAAAGAGAATAATCGTACGGATACTACTAAGAAGACGACTAACAATCAAACTAATAAGAACAGCAATGGTAATACTAATCATACTAAGGCTAGTAACAAGAAGAAGAGGAGGAGGAGGAGGGGGAGGAGGAGATACAGAACGAACAACCTGCGGCCTGGCTCTCGTGTTGTCGCCAGGGCTGCTGCTTGTGCGCAGTGGTGCGAGGGGGGGTCCCCCCAGACACGCACTGGTCGCTTGCGATCTTGTCGACGGTGCGGCGTCGGGAGGGAGAGCGGAGCGGGAGGGCGAGGGGGAGCGGGACTGTGGAGATGGGGGAGGAGGAGGAGGAGGAGGAGGAGGAGGAGGAGGAAGAAGAAGAGCAGGTGCAAGGAGGGTGACCCTTTTCTGACATCGCATCTTCGCTCGAGATGACCGCAAGACTCCATGACCGTCAAAGTCAACATGCCGATCATCTGTACGGATGGATGGCGAGCCGCTGTCAAAACCATGCCCTCGTATACATCCTTATGACTTACAGTCGTTAGTCGAAGGCGCCAGTGGTGACTCACCGCCGCCCACCACCCTTTTGGAGTAATTCGCCAGGCACTCGCGGATGATCACCGATGTATGTAAGTTGCTCGACTGGTTGAATTCTGGTTCCCCGAATGTTGTCGCGACGACTGGGGGAGCCCATGGGGCCCAGATGGAAGGGCTATCTTGGAGCTCTTTTGGAGCCATTTGGGCTTCAGGTGTGCCTTCTTTGGACTGTTTCGGTTCGTCTTGTGCCGTTGTGGGGCGCTCTTAGGTCGTCTTGGGGCCCGTCAGGACCTTCTGATGGTCCTTTTAGCTTGTGTTGGGGCCGTCCTGGGTCCTTCATGAGGACCTCTTGGGCCGTCTTGGACGCTCTGGCGAGAATCCGACCGAGACACAGCCGTGATGTTTGCCGAGCCTGTTTTTGTCCTCTCAACTCCCTATTCCAGAGTGTTGAGCGGTGCATGATGAGGGGGGGGGGGGCTCGGGTCTGGTCCGTGAATCGTTCCAAATCGCTTATTCCCGGATGATATATACTCTTGTGGAGAACGATCAATGCAGAGGAAACATGTTGCCAAATAATTTCCAGATGTCTAAAACATGTGTTCAACATGTTTAAAACATGGGGAACATGTTTAAAACATGTTTAGAATATTTTCCGACATTAAAAACACATTTTAAATTCAATGATAGGATTGTTAAGGCGTCCATTGTCCTGGCATCCACAAGTATGCCCGTGCCATGGCGTGCCGTGCCGTGCCTGCCTCCTGGAGTGCGACAGATCTTCCGTGCCGTGCCGTGCTGTGCACGCGCCGTGCCGTGTGTGCCGTGCGGTGCCGTGCCGGGCTTGACTCCTGGAACGCGAAGCATTTGCCTTGCCGTCCGCGTGCCGTGCAGTGCAACAACGATCTTTGTGGTTTTCGATGGAGGAGGAGGGGGAGGTAAAGAGGACGAGGGGAAGGACGCCCCGCCAGTCCACTCCCAACACCCGTTTCTCCCTCTCCTTCCTCGTCCTCAGCCTTTTCCGCATCCTGGTTCCTCCTCCTCCTTTTATTGTGCGTCGTCCTCACCTAAATTCTTGTCCTCCCTCCTCCTTCCCTCCCTCTCCTCCTCCTTCTCCTCCTTCTCCTCCTCCCCCTCAGTTCTCCTCGACATCCTCGCCCTTCTCCTCTCAAGTATCACCGCCACCCGCAAAATCAAGATGCTCCGCGAGGCGCCGAGACTGCGATGCAGGCACCAGGACGGTCCCAGCACGCTCCCTGAGACAGCCCAGCTCCCCCGCACGACTGCGGCAGTTCGCCCCCCAGCACCCGTCCACCATCGCCTCGTGTCGGCCCTAGAGCAGCCCCGTTGCCGACCCACTGGCCCACCCCTGTGGGGCCTGATGGCCTCCCCCAGACGGTTGTTCCAGGACCGGTCGCGACACTCACGATCCCCTTCATTGCATCTCGAGCCTCCCCAGAAGCCGCCCCCCCCGCCCCCCCCCCGGGAGGGCCCCAGGAGTCCCTTCACAACTTTCCGGCGCGGCCCGAAGAGGCCCCGAGAGGCGTTTCACAGATTCCTCGACGCAGGGCAGATGAAGGAGAAACAGGGGGGGGAGGAGGAGGAGGAGGAGGAGGAGGAGGAGGAGGAGGAGGAGGAGGAGGAGGAGGAGGAGGAGGAGGAGCAGGAAGAGGAACAGGAGGAGGAGGAGGAGGAAGACAGTTTGGAGTACGGAAAGGAGTGGAGTGAGGACTAGGAACATCATGATGAGGCAATTGACTTCGACTAGAACCTGAGAGTGCGCGAAGCGCGCCCGCGTGGTGGTAGTTCCGAATGCCTCGAAACTGTCACGTGGCAGCTGTTTGCTTGAGTTTGCCAGCTTGCAGCCTGCTTGACTGGTTCTCCGGGGCGGAGCAACAACTGCGCATTGCTTGAACTGTGAATATGTCGCCGTGCCGTTTGTTCCGACGCGCGGTCTTGTGTCTTGGAGAGGGCGCCTCGGCAGCCAGGGCAAGCGCCGCCTCGGGCGCAAGGTTTGCTGTGGGGTTTGCCGCGGCGCCTGCGTCTCCGTGTTCGCGGGACGCAGGGCTTGCCGTGGGTTTGCCGTGGTGTCGGCGTTGTCCACTTGGGCGCGTCGAGAACGAACGGGGCGACGACGTATGCGTGTGTTGTCAGGCGGATGGCCACAGTGACCATGTACTTCATGTGGCTTGATGCACTAGCGCGGTTCAATCGGCCGCGCGGTCTGATGGGAATTGATTGTCAAGACCCACGCAAGTTTGAAGGATGTTCTTGTGGAGGCCTGGGTCCGTTCTGTAATGCCAGTACCGCGCGTTCCCTGGCTCTTGCGTGAGGGAGCGGCGAGGGACAGGAGGCGGAGACGGAGGGTGAGGAGAATTCGGGGGAGCCTCCCTAGGCCGTTTTGGGGCCCTCTTTGGGTCATGTTGGCTTCTCTTGTGGGGGGAGGGGGGCTGGAGGGCTTTCGTCAGTCCTCTTTGTGCTATCTCGGGGTCCCTCTGGGTATATTGTGGCCGTCATGGAGGGATCGGGTACCGTTTGAGGAGTCTTGGGGCAATATTGGGGTGGTCTTGGGGGCAATATTGGAGCCGTCTTAAAGCAACTTCGGGAACCATTCTAGCAAACTTCTAGGGCCCTCGTGGGGACCAGCAGGGGCTTGGTGGGCCAAGAGGGCCCATCTCGGGCCACCTTGAGCTTCCAGGGGTGCCAGGATGGGGGCCAGAGGCGGCCATGGGAGCGGGGGGGGTCCTAAGGAGGGGACGACGAACGAACACCCTGGCGATTCATGGGCTGGGATGGGGGCAGGGCGGGGGCCAGAGGGGTCGGGGTGGGGGGCGGGGTGGGGCGATGAACGAACGAACGGCGACCGCAAGGGCCAGGGGCCGGGGCCAGGGCAGGGGCCAGGGTGTGCGACGACAGATGGGCGACGACCACGAGAGGCTGTCAATACATGTTAGTGGTTGTATCCATCGATCCGCTTCGTGATCAGGTGTCGGCGTGTTGAAGCACGACAGGGTCTTGCCACTCCACTGGTTGGGTCGAGCGTGATATGCTGGCGTGTCCTTGCGCCCTGCTCTGATGCGATTCTTGTCAGGCCCAGACCATCAGTTCTCGCCGTTCGTCTTGTTTCCTCTCACGTGTTGTTGGCATCTGCAGCTCCAATGTGCTCAGTCGGTCGGATCAGTCATACTGGCTAGATAGTTCGATGGAGTCCACTTTGTGGTCGTAGTTGCGGTGCATGTGCGGGCATGCCCTCATGCTTCTTGCTCTCAGGTGTCTCTCTTTTT